ATTTTGATAGAGCATTTGCGTATCTGACTTTTCTCATGTTTGTTCAATGAATGCTTTAATCCAGTTAAGCATGTTATGCTCAATACCATTCTTTACCAATTTTCGAATTAGCTTCTCTTTCCATACTAAGTCATATGCTGATTTTAAATCGACGAAAATAGCCGTAAGGGTATTTCTTGCATCAATGGCATCTTTAATGACGTAAGGGTATTTCTTGCATCAAGGACATCTTTGATGTGTTTGAGAGAGTGGCTACTTGTTGGTTCGTTGATCTTTGTGGCCATGATTTGACCTAGTGGTTTGGTTCAGAAATTAGGCAACAGCCTCCTCTATTCATTTATTTGAAATATTGCTAACCGATTTCATTTGTTTCCCACGACTAAAAGCTGTAATTGTTTACATTTGCGTTCGAGATTCAATGCGTATTATTTTGGCTATTGGAGAATCTCTAAGCTTTAATCGAAAGAAGACTAGGCCAACATCGGTGCAGTGACCAGTTTGGGTTTGGGACAAAGGATATTAGTCATTTATCAGTCAAGCAAATAGCTGCTATTTCGCCCATGTATTTAACCAGAAGGAACTGAATTATCTAAGAATATAGCTTGTCCCGGAAAGGATTGGATAGTTGTCCCGATCTTTAAAAAGTGGCACCTTGTCACTGCCATTAATTCTAATTTCAATTCAAACTACACTTCATTAAAGGCCTACAGGGTTTGGTAATGTAAACAGTTTCTTTGGGGTCTACATGTGCAGAGCCGGAGTATTTTCACAGTTGCAAAGTTAAAAATCGACTTGAAATGGTACGCTTTATGCAATAAAGTGCAATGATCAACATCTCAGTGCTCCATATTAAACTGCTGGAGCAGCTAAAGTAGGATGAAAAATACCACTTAACCAGAACTCCTTAAGACTATAATCCTACCCTTAGCAGAAACACCATGAAGGCAGCTCAGTTTACATACAAACACCTCCATGGCCAATGTTTGATGCCCAATTTGAAAAAAAACATAGGAAGGCGAGAAATGGCTCAACTGCCAACAATAAACAAACAGCTCTTTTTGGACGGTCCCCTCGACTAGATCTCAAGGGGTAAATCACAGAATTACATTAAAAAATGGGGTAATCTACAGCACTAGAATGCCCAAAGCACAGAATCACAAGTTTAACCTGGAAAACTTTTTAACGCGCCCCACTGAACCAACACTTATAAGGCTATATTGGAAAGTGGTGCATTCCAGTGGCCTAACGGAATTTGCGCTAACACCATCACAAACTCAAAATCTCCTATTTGTACGGGGAATAAAGATAGCATACATGCAAACCAAAACCATATATTTACAGAGGATTACAATTTTTCCTCATCAAGGCCTTCGGTGATAAAAACGAAGTATGGAGTCGTACCATCCTCGCGGAAGTTGCACGGAATGTAATATTGATCCGGTGGATAACTGTTCGTAGAACGATAGAAGTCCATATTTTTAAAATCACCAATAACCTTGGTCTTAAAGTATTCACCAACTGCCTTCTGGAAATCAGCCTTCTTTTCTGGGCAGCGTTCTTCCATACGACTAATAACGCTCTTGAGATATCCCTTCAAATAGGCCTGGTAATCCCTTACTGTTCCAACATCCATCTGTTCCAATTGATGAGATTCAACAACATTGATAACTGTCCTGACATCGTCCTGAACACCATCATCCTCACCGCCTTCTGTGGAGGGGTTGGCACCGATGAGAGCATCATCCACACCACCACTCACTTTTATAAAACTGCCTTCAACTTCCCAAATGTAGTCATTCACCACCTTGATAGGGAAGGCATCACTGAATAACTCATCACCTACGAAGGGCTTATTAGTTTAATGTCCAAAATTATATGAAAGTTAAATGAAAACTCACCATTAAGGAAATCCTTGTAGATCTTCATTTTCACACGATAGGTTTTGAAGTGATGTCTAGGTTAACTATCATAAATAGATTAAAACAAAGTCTATTGTCTATAAAATTTCGTGTTTCAGAAAGAGCATTAGAGTTGCTCTAAATTAATTCAAATGCATTATTTTATTTTATAACCATTGGATTTATACTTTCGTAAATAGACATATATATAAATTTATTGCTTTATATGAACTGTTTTTTACTTGAATGAAAATA